GGGGGAGAGAAAGCGACAATAAAATATGTGTCAATAAAATAAATTAAGATATATTTATAATTTAATAGAAATATACCGATACCTTAACTAATCCATGAGGAATCTTTGAGATTGTTTCATTCCTTTTCCTGAAATAAAGCTGAACAAATATAAATTTAGTCAGATTCATGCAAAAAAAATACCACATAGATTTATTTTGCAATATGTAGAACCATAAAGGTACTAATAAATTTATTACAGATATTATATTCCTGTTTCGAGCTAGTTTCAGAAGACAAAATCAGGTATTGATGCAAAAAGCTACACAACTCATATGTCAAGAAAATAGGAAAAGAATGACAGTCACGATCATGAAAAGGCTACATATGAAGGCAAATCTGCTAAGAAATAACAAGGTGATTTAAGGACTTTATTGGATGAAAAGAAGAAGGCTGATATGGTGTCGTCTACGGTTAATGGTGGTGATCATATGACTGAGAAGATGAATGCAGGAGGAACGGGCTAGGAATGATCAAAACTCAATGTCATAATTGTTTGAGTTGCTGAAGTTCGAGTGGAGCATGTGGTTTCTTAGAGTAGACCAGCTGATCGGGTTGATGTTACAGGTGTTAAGGAAGCTGTTAAAATGTGCCTAATGTAGTTGTAGTTCAAATTGAAACTGGACAAATTATTGAAAAGAAAACATCTGGTAATATTGTGCAGAGGAGTACGGATCAACGAAAAACTTATGATAAATCTAAATCTCCTAGGGATATTCCTGCAGCTACTGCTTTGGCGAGCAGGTGAATGCTACTAATGTTGCTTGCCTGCTTGGGATGTCGATCAATCAATTACACTTAAAAAATGGATGTTGAAGCTGAGCAATCAGGCAACCATAGGGATATAGAAGCAAATGTGCAGGCTGGAAATCTGTTGCAACAGGAAAAGGAAAAAACTGGACATGAAAGTTTTCAAGTGGCTGAACATTCTAGTAGCATTTCGGCTGGGAAGATTGGTGCATCTACAGCTAGCTTGAATGCCTATAAATTGAGCAACAATGAGGAGAAAAATATGGAGGAATGATGGACTCCAGTAGCTTGCAAAAAGACTACTTTTTACACCCTTGAGTTGGATGAAAGCAAACTGATGAATGATGATAGTCCTTAACTAGATTGATGTTATTCATTATTTTTGTTCTGTTGTTGTTTCAACTCAATTGATTGGTTTAACAAATGCTTTGGTTAGATGAGATTATGTCTTGGGTCCTACTGAGAGCTCCATTTTTCTGTCTCTTCTCTTTTAATCTGCTCTACAAATGTGAAATTTTAACCAAATATTTTAATACCAGCCGAAGAAAATACACGAGATCAAGGATTTCCTTCTCACAGCAAGAAAAAAGGATGCACGTTCAGTCAAGATAAAGAAGAACAAGGATAAGGTGTTATCAATCCTACGTTAAAAAAAGATTTTGTTCTATGCTGTTCTCATATGCATTTTTTATTGTTTTCAAGTAAATGCAATTCTTAGTAGCAAAACTAGGAATAAAAGACAAGAAAAAATGATCCGTGACTACTGGGTGTTATCAATCCTACGTTAAGAAAAGGACAAGAAACTCCTTACATGTAGAGTTTTGCAGCACTTCACCTTGAAGAAATTGGAAACCACGCAGATCTCAAAACACCTAAATTCGATTTTAATAACCAGATATCACCAAAATTGGTATTAATCAAGAGTTCAACACAAAAGAAACCCCCAAATCAGATTTTACCAACAATAAATAGTAATAAAAATACATATTTATGCACAAATGAGATATACCCAAAAATGTCAACCTCTACTTCATATTTAACTTCACATACTACACAGAAAAAGGGGGAAGAGACGAAAGCTGGATTTATTTTACATCTACCAAAGCCCTAAAAATTTTAATGTAGAAAAATTGCTAATAAACAGAGAAAGAAGCAGAGACATACCAGTATTTTAGAAAAGAGTTGATGTAGTGACGCATCTGGGAAAATTAATCAAAGATTAGAGGAGAAGAAGAAGAAGCAAAGGGGCTGGTTTCTTAGTGTAGTCTTCTGTGAGCTTTTTCGCTAAAGCAGAACACTCGTAACTTTTTTTTTCCCTAAATACCTAGCGACAAAAACTTTCCGTAGCTAAAGATACTGTCATTAATGAAAAATATTAGCGACATACACAATTCGTCGCTACATCCATCGCTAATATGCAATAAATTTTCCTCGCTTATTTTGTTGCTAAAACGAGGGCGCCCATTTTTCATTTGTCGCTAATTTATCGCTACATTAGATACTAATTATTCTATTGCGATAATTAGCGACGGGAACATATTTGTTGCAAGAATCCGTCGCTAATCGAGTTTTTTTGTAACGATGTTATATCGTATTTTATTCTATACAGATATATTTTCTATGATACTTAGACATAGTTGAGTCTCTTTTTTGCTAATAAATGTCTAGTGACTTTTTGTTATAGCTGATAAGGTTGAGTGATTTTTTTTATTATACAAAAATTTAATAACTTTAGTACAATAAAATAAAAATCGAGCGATCATACATGACATTAGCCCTAAAATTTTCAACATTCCGTTCCTATTTAAGTAGAACATTATTCCGCTCTAAAAAAAAAAGTAGAACATTATTGTGTCGGGGTATACATAGAGATGTATATACAATTTTTGGGTCAATCATGTACTTAACCTTTTCATTATCGTCGAAATTGGAAAGAAAGTGAAAAATCCTTTCTGTTTTGCTTTAGTCATGAATCTGCTTTTCTACTTTCCTTCTTCTTCTTCTTCTTCTTCTTCCATTTTCCTGCTTTCAACTTTTGACCTAGTATAATCAATCTTGAATGCAGTAAGAAAAGATAAGTTTATTTCAAAGTGGTAGGTATTACAGTTAATAGCACTTAATAAAATTCCTGCTTTTGACTTTCTAGAGGATATATAGAGAGAGAGAGATTTAACAACATTATTTTTGATGCAAATGTTCACGTTTTGTCAATTCTCAGGAATACTTTACACTTAAAAAGGAAAAATTTCAAGATAAAATCACAAACCCGATACCACCTAATCCGCTATCTTTACTTTAGTTGCATTTTGCCTCTCACTTTTCTGCACTTTCCAACTTCAATCTGTACTGAGTTTCAAGGAATAGCTTTTCTTTCTTTCTTTATTTCTTTCTTTTTTTTTCCTATCGATATGTATTAAATGTCTTCTTTTCTTTTATTTTATATGACACTTTTTTCCTTTTAGTGTATTCTAAAAAGAATTAATATATTTGTATGTTTAAAATAGTTTAACTATAATTTTTTTTCTTTTAACCTTAACAAAATGTTTTTAATTATAGCACCAAAAATATAACGTGTCATATTTATATAACGTAACCTCTATATTTCATTCTTAAATTAGGTATCTAATCCATAAAATAAAGTAAAGGAAATAGTAATTAAAGAAGGCTCCTCTTTCAAAGATCCATTTTCGGAGCAATCGCTACGAATATTATTTATATGCAATTGTGAAAGCATAAAACTAAGGATCGAACCACTACTAGAAATGTGGAAATTATCGACCAAAAATTTGCGATCAAAGTTGGCCGGTCAAAAAAAGCGACCAAAGTTGGTCGTTAATGTGGAGAAAATTATTAAATAATTATTTTAAATAATTTACCGACCAAGTTTGGTCGCTTTTTGGTTGGTAAATGTGGTCAACATGTTGACCGGGCTGGTCAGACTTGCTTGGTCAAAGAAATATTGAAATTAGCGACCAACTTTGGTCGCTAATGTGGGACTCAGTTATAACTTTTTAATAATTATATTATTATTTAAAATATTTTATAAAATATAAATAAATAATATTTAACATTGGCGACCAAAGTTGGTCGGT